GCTTAATAATTTTAATGTTAATTTTCTATGACATTTGTTCCTATACTAGTCTCGGCCCGCCCCTTCACACTACCAACAAGTGAAATATCAAATAGACCAATATTAGCTACACCTCTGACAATGCATACCAGTGATGGTTAGATATTTGATATAGTTAATGATGAATCATGTATGACTATTATCAAGAGTTGATAGTAATTAGAGGAGAGTGTCCTACTGGCTATATGGTCTACTTTATCACCGCATAGAAATTGAAAGTCACATTCCGATCATTTTCATATTTCATTTCAGTAGACTATAGTTATAGTTATTGCTAGTGTTTTTCAAATATTATTTGAAAAAAAAACTAGCAATAACTATAACTACTGAAATGAAATATGAAAATAACCGGATTGTGACTTTCCATTTCCACGCAGTGATGAAGCAGCATAGTAGGACACTCTCCTTTAAATATTATCTACTCTTGGCATTATTAAGCCCAATGTACAATATGACACTAGGTGTACTGTCAAATTTCAATTAGCCTAATACATGTATTATATCAGTAAGTACATGTACAATTAACTGGGCAAAAGCTAGTCAGTATGATTTTAATGTGTAAAATGTACATGTACAAGTGTATTACATGTACCTACATGTATTATTTCTATAGACCCCCTAGGCGCTAAGACTATTTTGTATGAATTATTTACGGTAGCCACCCATGATTAAAATTACTGATGGCAAGAAGCTCTCCACATCAAAGGCAGATCAAAGCCCAAGGTGCCGAAATGAAGCATAGCAAGAAAACTATGTTGTAGCAACGGAGACCTGGTCTATATGATGTAGTCTGGCCTCCATACTTTCCATAAATGTTGCTTGTAAGCCTGTAGTACCTTGTAGCGCTCAGAAAAATGGCCAGGCGGTGTCACCGCCTTTGATTTTCTTTTGATCTTGAGGCCTTCTTGCCATCAATAATTTACATCGTGGGTGGATACCGTATAGGAAAATTTTATTTATTATGAATGAATATCATTATTGTAATCATATTATTCATTGAAAATAATCTTTGCGCCTAGGGGGTCTATTGTATATTATAGTTATTTTTTAATAGAGCATCCAACACAACCAGTCATTGCTAATCCAGGTAAGGAGAGATTGTAAGAGATTAATTTTGTATTGGTGTAGGTGTTCATGATCTTGAACTCAAAGTTGATCAAGTTTCTAAGCTAAGAGATATTGCTAACGAATTGCAGGATAAATACGATTCTCTTGTTCTGGCAGTGAAAAAGTCACTTCAAAAAAATAGAATTGATGTAGAAGATGCAAAAATGTTGATAAAGGAACGTTTAAAAAGAAAAGCTCGTGTTGTTTCTGGGTTGATGCCCTGCATTAATATTCTTGAGAAGGCAAACGATTTTAATAGCTTTTTTAATTTTCTGAGCAAATATGATTTCATTGGTTACCTCAACTACAAGCTATTAAAGAAACTAACTGAACTGGTTAAAGATGATGATAAGCTAAACCAGCATTTCATAGACTACGAAAAAGATTATGCCAAGTTACTCAGTGCAGTTTCTCTTCAAGACTTGGTACCTTTATTTGAAAAACAATCAGACCTGTCTCCTACTGCTCCCCTCGGCTTACCTTATGTTTCTTTTTGTATTGAAAAACCTGATTCATTCACTAGTGCTCATGATTGTCTCTCAGCCTTTGATGAATTTTCATGGTCACAAGATACATTTTTTAAACAATTACAAAAGAAATGCATTATCATCACTTATGCTATACTACCATGTGTTCTTGATGATGTCATGAGAGATCTCAAGGATCCAGTGACGTTGAAGAAGCTAGAGGATAAAGGAGTTACTGTAATTGAATTGCAACAAGAAGAGGAAGGTATATATAAGATAATGCAGTATATAAAATTATTTTTATTTTCTATTTTTTTACAGAAGTTTTTGAGGGCAAGGAGGAAGGTACATGTGTACTTTTATATAACTAGCTTTTATTGGTTTGTATACAATTATTTTTTTATATTTATGTTTTCAGATGCACAGATTGAATCCACTGCTAAAGCAGAACCAGTACGTCAGTATGATAATTAATTTTCAATGATAATTTTTTGTTTAGAGGGTTGGTGCTTCTTTAATCATACAGACCACATTATCTGAGGGTAAAATTCCCACCACAAGCACTACTACTACTTTGGTAGGTATAGCACATTTACAGTTACAGTAAATTACAATAAATTATGCATACACACATGTAACTAATTACTATTGTACAATGTGTAGTGGAAAACTTTGTTTTCAAAAATTATTTTTTTAGCCTTTAATTTTTGTAATTTTCAAGTCTACTTTTTAGCCATCTTGAACCTTATTAAATCAATTTTTGTGGATATTTTTTATGAATTTTGAATAAATGCAAAATCCATGAAAATTTTGGGCCACGAACTTTTTTTGCTATGCAGTAGTGTTGAAGGAATGTAATTTACTTGTAGTTTTTAAACTAGTTAATTTTGTGATAATTTGTGCAACATTATAAGTATAGTTGTCTTGTCTATTAAGCTGATTTTGTGCAACTAGTTTATGTGCTTTTTTTATTTGATGTTAATTCAGTGATAAGCTGTTAAGTTGTTTATTGATGATCAGATCCTGCTAACAATTAAGTAGTACCGTCTATACTGAGTTTGTACTACATTGCATGGCAAAATTTAGGTCATACAAAGAGACATAAATATAGTGGGAATATTTGGTGGCTCTTAATACTGGTGATTCCATGATTGCAATGTATTGGTTGTCTTTATTGTGTAAATGAGTAAATACCTTAATCTTAATTTTATAGACAAGTGAAGCTAAATTAATATACATGTACAGCTATAATTATCTCTTTTCTTAAACAGAGGCCCGAAGCTGCATCAATTGGGAAAGAAGTGAAAAGTTCCAGTCTGGTACGATGATAAATTGTATATTAGCTTTACATGTAATTACATATGTAGGGACGAGATTTGATAAAGTCTATAAAATCTCATACTAAACCTAAGAAAGTTATTGGTCTACTTGAAGCTGGAGCTGATCCTAATGTTACTGAGGTTTGTAGCTACATGTATACTGTAGTATTCTAATTTGTTACAATAGTATCCATTTGGTGGCTCTCCTGCTCTTATTATAGCCATTGAAAAAGGTAATATTGATATCGTTAAATTGTTACTGGAGAAAGGAGCTGATCCTAATGTTACTAAGGTTTGTAGCTACAGTACTTGTATACTGTAGTATTCTAATTTGTTATAATAGTATCATGGTGTCTCTCCTGCACTTATAATAGCCATTGAAAAAGGTAATATTGATATTGTTAAATTGTTGCTGGAGAAAGGAGCTAATCCCAATGCTACTGAGGTTTGTAGCTGTATTATACTGTATTTTTTAATTTGTTACAATAGTGTAAATCTGGTAGTAATCCTGCCCTTATTGTAGCCATAAAGAAGATTAATATTGGAATTGTTGCAGTCCTACTTGAAAAAGGAGCTGATCCTAGTATTGGTTTTAATACTGTAAGTTCACTAAGTTGCCAGTACATGCATGTAGTTATGCAACAGCCAGTGCACCATATGAGGTTGTACTATTTCTTTAAAAGAATGAACAAGTTAGCTTTTTAAAAGGATTATTGGCATTAAAACTAATACATTAATAATTTTAATGTACCATAATTTTGGTATGGTAATTTTCAAATGTCCAATATTTCTCCAAAATTTCCTTAGAAGCTAATATTCTTAGGTACAAATATTTGTGGCTCTAGTAAACTTCTTTTTTCACTTCTACAGCACTGATACATGGCTAAATATTGAATAATAAAATAATAAACTAAGATTCTGGCTTCTCCACTGGCTTGAAAATAGTATATTTAGAGCTTTGCATGACCCGTTATTTAGTTTTTTATGCAGTAGGGGTTAAAATTATGTGGGTATAAATGAACTGCGAAACAGACAAAAATCAATACCCCACCAACCGTATGGTCTACATGTATAATTGTATCCATAAATTACTTACACACACATTATTAGCACTTGCTTTAGTAAGCAACTTTTAATTATCTATTTTTTATTAATTATGATCATAAAATAATTGTATCAATATAGTATGATGGTACTCCATTACAATGTGCTAGTAAAACTGGTAATGATAATATTATCAAATTATTAATAACTAAAGGAAAAGCTGATGTGAATGCTGTGGATATGGTAAAGTTATTCAATAATTATTATTATTTAATTCTATTTGTATCATTTAATTTTGTATTTATAGCGCAACTGTACTCCATTGTTTAATGCTGTTAAGAGTGGTAGTATTGAAGCTGTTGATATTCTATTAACTAATGGAGCTAGAACTGATGTTGTGTCTGAAGTAAGTTTTATGTTGAAACTTGACCATGATTATACAACATAAAATTTTGAAAGCTGTAACTTTTGGAGACTTAAGATTCAATTTATGCTGCATGCTGGCAGTGTTTATTCATAAAAATTAAATTTAACAAATTTGAAAAATTACTGCAAACACTAACACACAGGCTAACATATTGCCTGCATGTGTAGTCATAATGTTTCATGGGTAACTAAATTTGTGACTGAGTACAAATATTACTATTCAAAATTTATGTTTGCACATGTGCAGTGATCAGTTGATACTGCCTAATACTGTAAATAATTGTGCACATTTAGCAAAGCAGACTGCCTACAATGTATGTAATTACTTAATCCAATAGCAGGCTGGCAATTTTGTTTGTTGTTTATTTATTATTATTGTTATAATTTATAGTATGGTAAAACTCTACTACATTGTGCTGGTGAATCTGGTAAAGTTGAAATGCTTCAGTTTTGGATTAAGAGAGGAGATTATGATGTGAATGTTAAAGATAAAGTAATTAATATTTAAAATTGGTAGTCACTTTATGTTTTATTATAGAGGAACAGAACTCCATTGTTTAATGCTGTTGCTAGTGGTAGTATTGAAGCTGTTGATATTCTATTAACTAATGGAGCTAGAACTGATGTTGTGTCTCAAGTATGTGAAACCTATGTGGTTGTACTGTAACAATCTGATACATTAGTTACTGATATGTACCATATTTTACTGATTAAACGTCCGGGCGTTTATTTCTTAGCAGCCAAAAAATTTTATTGAAAAAAAAATAAAAAAGATACTTTGAGTGGAATCAAACTGCCAAGTCCAGGCAAGTTAGTTCAGGCTCTAACTTTTAGGCACTTTGGAGCTATCTAAACCGTGGAGCATTATTTCTGGTACAAATATGCTTATCTATAGCTAGAATATATTAATAACAGGCGTTTATTTGGACCAGGCATTTATACGGTAAAATATAGTACATGTACATATAGCACTGGAATGTATGGTAATAAAAATATGCAGACTTACCTTTTATTTAAATTATTACTATTTCATTATTATTTTCATAGGATGGTGAAACTCTACTACACTATGCTGGTGAATCTGGTAAAGTTGAAATGCTTGAGTTTTGGATTAAGAGAGGAGAACATGATGTGAATGTTAAAGATAACGTAATGTTTTCAAATTATCAGTCACTTTATGCTTTATGTTGTGTTATCATAGAGCAAAAGAACTCCATTGTTTAATGCTGTTAAGAGTGGTAGTATTGAAGCTGTTGATTTCCTTTTAACAAATGGAGCTAGAACTGATGTTGTGTCTGAGGTAAGATTTGTTGAATAAATCATGTATATAGACAGGTCTTTATGAGGTGGGTGTCCAAATATACAATATAGCCCAAGGAAAATATTATATCCGCCATTAGCTCAGGCTTGTTGATTATAAATGTGATTATGTCATATATCCCTTACTGTTATAACATGAACATATACATGAACTGCTTACATTGATTATTCACTAATGTTCACGTGCATGTATAGTATTTGAGACATCATAATCCTCAAATCTCAATAATAATGTCATTAAGTCATTAAATCAACAAGCTAAATTTGATACTATAATATTGATAATTTGGGCATAGATGCTTTATTTATGGTTTGGATTTTGTAGATTTCACATATTTAGAAATAATTCAGAATTTACACGTACATGTATGCTTTAAATTATCTTGATTTTGATTCATTTGCAAACTTTTACCTCTGCATAAATCACTCACTCTATGACATAATTATGTTAGATGCATGAGCTGTGAGTGCATGACTGAATAAATTTTTCCAACCTACATGTTGGGGTGAAGCTCCTAGATCATTCCTGTAATTGTTCTTACCAACATGCGATCTATTATTGTGTCACACTTGCATTTATTCTATGCACATTGTATTGGAGAAATAACAAATACTAAATTAAGACACCTTAGCAGTTAGCAATTTCTTGCCCGCAACCTTTATATAAAATGGGTGTGGCCACAGCAAACAAAAACCTTCTTTAGAAGCATTATAAAGTAGAGAAAACCTCTGTAAGTCTTAATAATGAGATCCAGTTATACATGCAAGGTGGTGATAACAGTTATAGGGATATTTTTATATACTTATACACTTGTTTTACATGTACATTATATTTAATGTATAGTACGGCACTCCACTATGCTATGCTGTTAAGTATCATAAAGGTGCTGACATTATCAAATTATTAATAGCTAAAGGAAAGGCTGATGTGAATGCTGTAGATGAGGTAAAGTTAATAAATCATCATTTCTACAATTTATTTTGTAATTGTAGTTGAACAGAACTTCATTGTTTTATACTGTTAGAAATCGTGACAAAGAAGCTGTTAATATTCTATTGACTAATGGAGCTAAAACTGATGTTATGGGGGTATACATTAATCTTATATACATGCATGATTGCATGTACATGTAATACACACTACTGTGTAGCAGTTTTTTCAAGGATACAAGCCAAAGATTTATCAAATTAATTTTTACAAATATCCACTATTTAGCATATTCCACATAATTTAATTTTATGAGTGTTTTTTAAAAAATCCATGAATTCTTTATCCTTGAAAAAGCACTATGTTTAGTTATTTACGTGTGCCAACAGTATACAAAATTTTTATTTTTATAGTATGATGAAACTCCATTACACTATGCTTGTCATTTGGGTGAAGCTGATATTATCAAATTATTAATAACTAAAGGAAAGGCTGATGTGAATGCTGTGGATAAGGTAAAGTTATTAATAAGTACTCGTTTTTAATTGTATAACTTGTGTTGTATTTTATAGAAGAACAGAACTCCATTGTTTTATGTTGTTAAGTGGAGTAGTGAAATTGTTAAAGGAGCACGGACACGGAAGCGCGTCATCTTGATTTTTAGACCAAACACAGATACAGTATACAACAGGGATTGGAAACGGCCCGGTATCACATGATCTTTTCCTTAAACGAGCATGCGCAGTATAAAAGGGGGGGTGGTCTGCCCAAAAATGGAAGCAAATATTCAAAATGGCGATTACACATGATAAAGATCTTGATAACATCAGCACAGGCGGCTGCAGGCCTAGGCATTGGGGGTCATTGCCTAGGTTAAAAATTAGACCGGAAGTAGAAACAATGCTATTTAACCCTTTTACCACACCCCTTTAATTAGAAATGCCTAGGCTGAGTTGGACTTCTGCAGCCGCCAAAGAACATCAGTTGATTTACATAGTAACAGCAAAAGGAAGAGGCCACAATTGCCTAGCCTCTTATTTTCCACATGTTTCTTGTTCTTTTCTTCTGACTAAATCACGGTTAAGTTGTTTATAGCGAGTAATAGTGAAACAGGCCGAGCTTCAGGACGATCAAGGACTCATTCAGGATGACTTTGACATTGAGTTTGAGTCTGCCGCAGAGAAAGGTGCCTTTAGAAGATTTTCAATCCTTGCTATTTAAGAACAAGCTAAATAGCTTTGGTTTGTTGACAGCCATGTTTAATTTTATAGTTTTAGTTAAAGCTGCATGATGCATGGCTCTTTTGAGTCTCTGCTGGTATAGGGAGTTAGTAAAACTGTCTGTACTCTTCTAAGAGTCTTTTTTAGATCTTGTGGATGCCTGTGGTGCTTGTATTCTGTGATTCTTCACTGCCCATTTTTAATTACATTCTAAAGCCACCCGCCATTTTTAATTGACTGGGCAGCCCACCCCCATTTTATACCCGTGCTCATGCTCGGTGCTGTAGCAATCATCACGTAAGGTGGAGCAGTGGTTATATTTTGCGCATGCTCGTTTAACATTTCAATGAGACAACAAAAATTGTCAAAAAAACCTAGGCGTGTTACGGGTTAAAAATAGATATCCAGGGATATTCTTCAGAAAAGTCTCAAGAAAGTCATCTGTCTAATGACTTTTAAAGATTTTGAGTGGTCCCCATTCTAGGAAAACTTTGGCTGCATAAAGCTCTCTTTCGAAGGTATTCTATAAACTGGTACTCTTTGCAATATATCCATTCTCGTATGATTTGAGATCTTTTCTCCCTCTGGCTTCTACATTGATGACACAACAGCTGTTATGATGAGATGTCTAGATTGATGTGACTATTATCCAATGTACTGAGTGTTTTTAATCTTAATTTTCTCTTAAGCCGTGTTTTATTGAGGACATCAAGAATAGTCGGACCTACGGTGGAATTTCTCCCTCTGGCAACTTCACTATGACTAATAACGAAAATATGTGGCATTAGTATTGTTCCCTAGGAATCTCTCCAATGTAATGAGCTACAATGAAGTGACTATTTTTGTCCTGTGGATATTTGGAAAGCTGTTTCTGCAAGTGAAGAATACTGCCGTTTATTGATTACTTTTGATAAACTTGCTATGCATGCAACTTTTATTTGATTCCAACTATTAGTTTTTACATTACAGAATAGTTATCAAGTGTCAGTGATACTGCAGCGTCAAGATATATGAAATAAACAGGGCTTGTAATTTTATCAT